CTCTGTTCCACAACGAAATTGAAGTGTTTTTTATCTGAACCTTGAAACAGAAGTATGTGTGTAGGAGGAATACACCATAACGTACGTTTATTGATTTAATAACAGTAAATTCATAGAAGAATAGTGTGTGTGTGTGTGTATTGAAAGACAATGTGTCTTTGATGTTATTCTTGCACTATTAATTATCTCGTGTGCAAAATGTACATTGATTTGCACAAAATGTGTTTTAGTGGTTATATGTATAGAGAGTGAGTTAGGTTTTATGAGTGCATATTTATTATGACAGAAAAGAGGGTGTTTTTTTATATGTAGACTCTGATTATTTTACATACTATCTTATTTACATGAAGAATTCTTGCTTATATCAAGGTGAAACACATTTTGTCATTTTTGTTATGGTGCAGTCCTGTTCAATGAGAGTGTAAAATGTGCACAGTGGTGTGTAGATTATGTGTTATAGCACGAAGAATGATGGCAAGTGATGGCCATCTAATCTTCCAGGCTTACATGTGTTTGCAGGTGGTATACAGCATCAGGTTATTATATTCCTTCCATCTATTATACTGTTTACAGAATCACATTGTTTACAGGAAAGCACGAGTTGTTACAGCTGACATTCTTGTAATTGTATTTTATAGTGTAGTTTAGAATATATTGTAGCGTGTTTTGCGTGTCACGCTACAAATAAATTTACGCCGGTCTCAGATTCCGTAGAACCTTTATTGTTCTTCGCACCTGCACAATCACACGCTTTACAATCGTTTGCTCTTGCAGTGTTACAAATACTGCTTACAATATCTCGGCGGTACTGGACTCCCTTCTGCGGCGGATGTTCCAAGCCTCACCTCTTAGACGGCTGGATAAAAACTGACTGCTTCTCGTCGACGCTGGGCTATTTATCCCCTCGGCCGCTGCTATCCAAATGAACCCTCTGTTATAACAGTGGAAACGTTGCTTTGTTTGTTCCGCGATTCCTACGCAATGACCCATTGTTATTGCGTTGTCTCTGTGGGAACGCTTCGCGTATTCGTCGTAACCGTGGAGATTCGATGTTCTCTACACAACGGCTCACTGTTGGGATTACAGTGCCGCTATTGTTACTTCCTATGCAACGGTCTGTTCTAGCGTTTCCATAGGAGTGACTCTTCTGGATTGCAGACACGTTGCATTGCTCCCTTCTAAAGGTTGTTCGTCCGCGAACAGCCTAAAGGTTCTCCCTCGGTTTCGATTCCGCAGTGTTCTGTTGGCAACGTCTTCATTCGGCCTTGGTGTCCTTAGTGCGTCTTATTGCGCTGTTCATTTTACCGCATCCGCCCCTCTCTTCAGTTGTGCTCGTCCCGAGCACTTCCGTAGCCGAGAATTTGTCGATCTCGTTGTTTTACACTCATTCCTCACTTTCATTCTTCATTCATCCTTGTTGGGTAGGCCGGTACTTCTACGTTACCGGTTCCTCCCATAAGGGCCGTTTCCCTTTTTCCGTTTTGGAGGGGGTCGACCCCTCCACAGTGTCCAATTTTTCGCCGTAAACCTGATAATTCGTTTCGTGTTCTTCACGTTGACAGCCTCGTAGGGGATCTTCTCTCGTGTTCCTCTCCTTCCTGGGTGCGATCGCTGTCCTGCCCTACACCCTCCGATGCCATTCTTGGTTGGTAATTTTTTCTTCTGGCATAGCGGCCGTCTGCCGCCCACGTTCTTTATTCCTTTCCTTCCTTTACGCTTGCATCCGAAGGTTCCCTGGGGAGTTTCCTTCTTGAAGGCATTTCTCCAACGTCGTGCCACTGTCGCGCGACGGGATGACTTCCTGCTGTTTTTCTTCTGCCGTGCCAGTTCCACACGGCGGCTCGTCCCTCTGTGGGCGACTGGCAATTTCTCCTGGGGTCCACGATTTTCCCGTTGCAAATCCTTCGGTTTCTGGCGGCGGCGCTCCCCGGCCAGTTTTCGGTCCCTACGCCGTTTCCTCGGTTCTCTGACCGGCATCATCGGGGCGTCTACTACGGGGACCTATCGATGCTCCAGTACGGACTGCATCACTTCTGAGTGGGGCTCAATCTTCTCGTGGGTAGTTCTCCTCTCTTCCTCCCAGGCTTTCCAATCGGCCATCATCTTGCTATGTCTGGCGTCGGCCCTGGCCTGGTTTGCCCCCCTTTAGGGCCAGCAATTCTTTCTTCTCCGGTTTTCTTTTGGCCTCCGTCGTTTCGTGTTTCTCTCTGATTTCCTTCAGTAGAAGTCCCATCATTTGTTGCATCTCCGTTTTGCTGCAGGAGGGTACATGATGCACAATAATTCAATTATTTGTCGAGGCGTGTTCAAGTTCGTAAAACTTCTGACACCAGTGTAGCGTGTTTTGCGTGTCACGCTACAAATAAATTTACGCCGGTCTCAGATTCCGTAGAACCTTTATTGTTCTTCGCACCTGCACAATCACACGCTTTACAATCGTTTGCTCTTGCAGTGTTACAAATACTGCTTACAATATCTCGGCGATACTGGACTCCCTTCTGCGGCGGATGTTCCAAGACTCACCTCTTAGACGACTGGATAAAGACTGACTGCTTCTCGTCGACGCTGGGCTATTTATCCCCTCGGCCGCTGCTATCCAAATGAACCCTCTGTTATAGCAGTGGAAACGTTGCTTTGTTTGTTCCGCGATTCCTACGCAATGACCCATTGTTATTGCGTTGTCTCTGTGGGAACGCTTCGCGTATTCGTCGTAACCGTGGAGATTCGATGTTCTCTACACAACGGCTCACTGTTGGGATTACAGTGCCGCTATTGTTACTTCCTACGCAACGGTCTGTTCTAGCGTTTCCATAGGAGTGACTCTTCTGGATTGCAGACACGTTACAATATATATGGTGATGTGATTGTTTTTTGTTTTAATGCTTAGAAGTATGTTGAATGATATTTTGATAGATTCAGATCTTAGTCAGTGATGTCTCTGTCTAATATTTGAGCATTAGTGTTGTGGGGTGGATAAAGTATATTTATATCTTTCAAATATGTCGAAAATCATAATAAAGTTAATAACGGCAACATTCGAAAGAGAATATTTCGTGAACTGTTCGAAATTGTAAGAACCAATAAAGATAATTGTGATATCATGCACTTGAGACCGTTCTGAAATGTGAATATTTCGAGAAAAATGCATTTACGACCATAATAAATATCGTAATATATTCCAGGTTTCATAGATTACGTAGAGAGTTTAAAAGAAAAATAAAGGCTGAGTTTATCATGTGAGAAAATTCGGAAATAAAATGTCCCGTATAAATATATAATGTATTCATACACTATCAGAGACATTCAATCGTTAGACAATGCCGACGCCCAAACAGTGCTTAACTGAGATTAACGATGAGGAGTAGTAATCTGCGCACATCTATCATAATGTGTACACTCACAACCTAACATTAGCTAAATTACCGAGCTTCGCCCCCTCCAAGGTACAGATGGTTGAGCAGTAGTCTATTGCGCAAACCAAACCTAATCTAACCCAACCTAACCTAACATCAGCGAATGGTACCCCAGAGACACATGGATGAGCTGTAGTCTACTGCACCCACCCGACCTAACCTAATATCTGCGAATTGTACACCTGAGTTACAGGTGGATTCTTAGTAGTTTATTGCACACACCTAAGTATGACGTCAATAACGAAGCTGCTATTTAACGAAACGTTATATAGGGTTGACAAAACCTAACAGCGTTAATTACCGAACTTCGCCCCCTCCAAGGTACAGGTGGTTGAGCAGAAGTCTACTGCTCAAACCAAACCTAATCCAACATAACCCAACCTAACCTAAAATCAGCGAATGGTACCCCTGAGTTACACATAGATGCGCTGTAGTCTAGTGCACCCACCTAACCTAACCCAATATCAGCGAATTTTACCCCTGAGTTACAGGTTGATGCTTAGTAGTTCATTGCACACACCTAAGAGTGACGTCAATAACGAAGCTGCTAATTTAACCTGTCTCATGACACAGCACGCACGTAAACTACACTACTAATAATAAGAACACGAAATCAAGAGAAATAAACGACATCTTCCACCATCAGGAGGAAAGCAACATGACCCAAAATCGGCTCAAGATATTTTAATATAATAACTAATTTTTTAAATGGAAATTTTAATACAATTTTAAATATATTGGGAGTCTACTGTATGGAAAAGTGAACACAATATTGCGTACAGTGGAAACCCCCATTCAGAATAACCAGTAAATCTACACTTCAAGAAGCGCCATTGTGAGTGCCTAAGACAAACATGAAAACCAACCGTGATAACAAAATTTATATAGAGAGCATAAGTCATATCTAAAGTGCATATTGTTAAAATATCTTATGTGACAGTGTTTCCTTATCGTAGTGGTGCGCCTCTGAAGATGATTCTTTTGAATCGAAACACGTAAGGTGAATGAAGACTGAAGTGTTGTAAACTCGTATGTCACACTGGACTGAACTTTTCATTATCTACTCTGTAACGAAGCTGCTGTTTAACGAAACGTAATATATGGTTGTCATAACAAGGAATATAAATCGAAATATGAAATTATGTATAAAATTGTTCTTGTTGATTGTTTTTCCACCCATAATATCAATCTATGCTCTTATATTCCGATATTACATTGCTACCTGATAGCTTAGATTGTGTCGAAAACGCCGCTCCCAGCTCACGATTTCGCGCGTCCCCCACGGTGATACAGTTGATTACTGAATATTTGCATATTATTGCATTATGCTGCCCTGCAATGTCATAACGTTATGACGAAAAATTTTCTTTATCGGTGAAATCGTTTCCTTCTTTCTCGTGGATAAATGCGCGACCAATTCAGTGACTGCTTGGCATTTGTTTCGTTCGAATTTCTCTTCCTGGATAGGAAGTAGAATAATATACACGAAAATGTGTCAAAATATGGTGAAAAATACCGTCTTGTAATTCATTCATTCATTCATTCATTCATTCATTCATTTCCTTTGTTTTCCATATATCCATACAGGCAAAAGTTCCTAGAATGTGGAAATAGTCCCTTTGAAAATAGATGCCGAGCGTGGTGTACATGAAGGCGTCAGTGAGGAAGGCATTGTTCGTATGGTAAACCGAAGCCCACGTACGAGTACGCGAAGAATTGCCAGCCAGGTCTCCAGACTTAAGCCCACTGGATTTTATATGTGGGGATGGATGAAAGAACTGGTTCACAATGTGAATGTGGCAACGCGAGATGCTTTGCTCGGTCGCATTTTGAACGCCGCGGACCACATAAGAAACAGCCAGCTGAAGCTGCTACGTGCTATCCGCGCGGTTCACAACCAAGCCGTTGCCTGTGTTGCGGCCGGTGGTGGCATTTTCGAAAATCAATTTTAAGCACCAATAAATTCAAATTAAAGGTAATTTCACGAAGCTAACTTTACATTCATACTTTAAATGTATCATGTATTATGCTGGTTTACTATTTTCGTCCGTTTATTATCAATAATCGTTACCTTCTATTCTGAGTTTAAAACGGTCATAACTCCGTAACCGTCCAAAATCGGACACATGTTTATATGAACTTTTTTGATCACAAAGACCCAGGAAATCACTTACTGCAGTTATGCCCTAAAGTCGTGAACTCCCTATATTTGCCAGGTTTTCTTGTCCAGTACTGTAGTCGAAGATGAATATCAGATTTCCGGTATTCTGTAATTTATGTTATAAAAATGAAGGTATTCCTGTAACAAGCCATGGAGGCCCATCATGTTGTGACATGTTGAGGCTCCCACATTTTCTAGACTTTCGGCTTATAGATGTCGGTAAGGTTGTCAGCCTTACGCACAGGCCGCCCTTTACGCCCCCCCCCCCCCNACTTGTACTCATTTCTGTGAGAGGCTGAGTCGACCCCAGGGCCCTAGTGTGGCTGGAAGGATTAGGTAAATTGAAAAAATCCACCTCTAATGGAATCGGTCCCGTGACCTTGAACCGTGCAACGGTTCTTCTCCATGAAGTTCCCTGGAGTCCCCCCCCCGAAACGCCAGGATGCGAGCCGTTCCTCTTTTTACCAGTTAACGTCTTTGACTGACATCAGGTCAGCTGACCTTGTCCCCCCCCTCCTGGACGTACTCCGTGGTTTCCTCCGTAGTACAAATGAATCTATCGTTCTCTCTTCCCGTTGACCTCAGAAAGGAAACATCACTGGGTCTAAATTGGTTTCGTAAAGTTGAATTGATTTTGTAAGATTTGAGGCTTTCACAGCGGTGACTATGAAGAAAGCAGTCTTCTGGGACTTGGCTGCTTTTACCGGTTCTCACGGTCTCTTCGCTTGCAGATTTCTTATATTTTTTTCTACCCTGAAGATGGAGGCGATACGTTCCTCCGAAACGTCGGTTAACACCACATATACACGGTGCCAAATCCCAGAAGACTGCTTTCTTGAATTGATTTTCTTGGAAATTCGGTTTCGGCCCGCAGCAGTGGTTGAAGGGGGAAGAGTTCCCTCACAACATGGTCAAGGGTGGATCAAGTCGTGAGGTAAATCTTTGAGTTTGTAAATTCAGCAATACAAGTAAGTGACTTACTGAAGTAATTATTTTCTTTCGATTATGAACGCCGTGTGACGTAGGATAATTTGGTTTTGTCTAAGGTTGTGCTAAACAGCGTATCGCCCCTCAGGCGTGTATGTAAGCTGTTTATGTTTCCTTGTGCCCTCAAGGCTTGCCTAAGTACATGCTTGTACTGGAGAAGTAGAGAGACGCCATGAGGCGTGCCTGACTTGAGTTCTGTGCGGCTAGGCACAGCGTAGTTCTGTATCACTCAGTTATTACATGTTCTGACCGGTTACTGCCCTTCAGGCGGGCCCATCTGTATACATATGTTATTAATATATATTTATGTATATGTTTAAGAACGCCAGTGATGTTTATGTATACCTGTGCTGTACGTTCCATACAAGTTTCTGACTAGCGGATCCGTCCAGCCTGGCCCTTTGTGCCGACTGGTTTTCCTCTCCCGAGATCCCTTACTCGACCTTAGGGAGGCATAGTGCATCACGCTACAAGCAAGTCGTTTCTTATGAGCCTGTCCCTTACCCATATTGAGCAAGGGTTCACGGGTCTAAGCGGGTAGAAGAACTGGGTTCTTTACCCACAGGCTCAAGGGACACGGCTCAACCTTCTGGCTTGTATTATATTTGCCATTTATTCTTGTCCATTACTGAAGAGAAACTTGAATATTATATTTCCAGTATTCTGTAAGATATATTATTAATTTTGTCAAATAATCCTGTCTAGTACTGCAATGGATGAATATCTGATTACCAGTATTCTGTATGATATGTTATTAATTTTGTCATATAATCCTGTCCAGTACTGAACATCATTCTAACGAAATTAATAACAAAGGGAAATGTTAGTATTACTGCTTGCTCTATACGATTTATAATGCTTTAATGTAATCAAAATCTATGTTTTGTGTGGCTCTCAAGTGTAAGTTGTTACCAAAGGTGTGAGGTTTAATAGAAGTATGTGATGGAAACAGAATTCTCTTTCAAGTTCTCCACTTTCAGCCTTCCTAAACACAAGTATTCTATTTATGTTATAGTTCACAATATCAAATGCATTTGGGTAAGGAGATGTTGGATTGATATGAATGAAATGTTACGACTTCACAGGCACTGGTGAGAAACTTTCTGATTTTGCAACCCTGACCCCTTGTGCTGCAGAGGTTTTTACTCTGTTGCGTTTTTTTTTTTTGTTTTGTTTTTTTTTTTTTTGCAGGGTTCAATATCACTTCACTCTTATCCTTTGGAACGGATATGAATGGTGATATTGAACCCAGTTCATAGAAAGAAGAAAAAACAACGAAGTAAGAAGCTCTGCAGCACAAGAGATGTGGTTGCAAAATTATGTATTGCAATTTATGTGAAGGGGATGGTTCCGAAGGAAGAGGTGGGGAGACCGCATTGGATGGTATGGTAGCATTCTATTTTATTGATCATGCTGTCGGTGCTGGTGACCATTTCTCATTTAGTCGGAGTACGTCTGCGTAGAGATGGCAGCAGTAATGCCATGTGATGTCACCGCGGCCATGTTGCCCACCACAAACGAAGAGTTTCAGTGTTGGTGGTAAGCGGTGGTAAGTGTAAGGCGGTTAATGGCCGCGGTTTATCTGGTGTATGGTTGTAAAGGTGTTGAAGATCGGTGGATAATGTGGTGCTCGCAAATGGAAAATTAATATTTTGCTCTTTCCATTTTATTCTGTTTTTGGAAGATCAGTGGAAAGTCTACTGTTCTCAGATTAGGTTAAATGTTAAAACACACATTGATCAGTTGACAGAAAATGATATACTTTTCATTTTGGGTGCAGTGTAACCAAGTTGTATAAACTCTATAGAGTATGGTTGCTAACATTACCAATTAACCCAGTCATTGTAGGGATACTTGACTGTGATTCATGCAGAACAGGTCATTATTATTTTGTGTGCCCTTTTTTTTTATCAGAACACTGTCGAAACGCAAGCCCAGTGTTAGATGCGACATTTTGTCTGTGGACAATGGTATAAGTAACTTTTTTTTTTTTAGCGACAGCCCAAAAATTATGAATGTGAACAATTTCCATTATCCCAACGCAGCGGTAAGTGTTCCTGGAGAAATTTCGTCTCATGTGAGAGAAGTATCTGATTACCACCGTAATGGAGGAGAAAAGAATGTAATTAAAAAAACACCGGAACAGTTGAGTGATATGTTCCAGCCATCAGTGCTTCTCAACAAAACAAATTCTTCAGAAATTAACTGCTGTTACAAAGAACAAATGCCAAAAATTTCTCTGAAGAAAATAAAGAAGAAGAGAATTCTAAATTCCAGGCCGGTAAAAGGGTGGTTCAGAGGGAAAACTGATGGAGACAAAATAGAACATCAAGAGAGTTCAACAGGTGTCTCAAAGAGAGAGAACTGTAATGATGAATGTCCAGTTTCACAGCACATTCAACCAATAACATGTGGAGAGTCTGTCCTAAACAGTTCTATTTTGGATGAGGTTTTAAGTGAAAAAAAGAGGGTAATTCCACTTATTTTTCAAGAAAGCATGAGCAAATAAGGAAGAGGTTCTTGTATACTAAAGTGTAATTTAGACCATATTAATTAAACTTCTGGTGGTTAAAAAAATGGGATAGAAGAAATGTCTGCTAAGGTTCAGGCACTGTCAGACTAATAGCCAATAAGCGCTAAAAGATGTTCCTGATGAATAGATGCCAGGTGCCAGTACTAGGGTGTGGGGATTGGGCAGTGTTATCCAGAAAACACAAGGTCAATTTTAAAGTTTATCTGCTGGCACATTATTTTAGTAACATTTCTTTTTTCTTTCTTCCCCCCCCCCCATATTGTATGAAGAAAATGTCAGTACATTGTATCATTGCAATATTAACTTGATTCCTCTATAGTGTACATCTGATATCTAGCATATACAGGGTGTCCCAGGAGGAATGTGCCAAACTTCGGGAGGGTGTTCCTTATGTTAAAGTATGCCGATATAACCCAAAACACCTATGTCCAAAGTTGAACGGTTACGGAGATAATGGCCCGAGAAGTGTCAAACTTTGACCGGGGTTACACACTTGTTGATTACAAAATACATATTAAAACTGGCAGGAATATGTGGATTCTGTAATGTTAATAATGTACGTAACATCAAACTAACTTGTGAGTGACGGAAAGCCATAAAAGTGAAGTACAAAATACTCGCTCGCCATGTCATAATTGTCCTTAGGTTTCCAAGCAGTATACATAACACATGACTGGCGAGCGATGACGTAACGTGCTGACTGCGCGTTCTGGTATGAGCCAACTACATAAGCACGGCTAGGGAGTATCATCGCACTCAAGGACAAACATAGATAAGGGCTCTCAGCTGAGAGGTACAGCGAGGTACAGTGCTTGGACCTGCCAGAAGACCACACTTTTCTTGGGCCATTATCTCCGTAACCGTTCAACTTTGGACATAGGTGTTTTGGGTTATATCGGCATACTTTAACATAAGGCACACCCTCCCGAAGTTTGGCACATTCCTCCTGGGACACTCTGTATATGCAGGTCAGGTTTATCTTCTACTGAACTGTTTATATCTGAATTTGTTTAAAATGTTTGCATGTTGTGTGTTATGAGAGTAAAAATTCACTGGCTAGAGAAAGTATATTACTTACTTACTTACTCACTCAATCATGGAGCTGAGTCCTTCTGGAGGAGCCGCCAAGAAAGTATATTATATTTATTAAATAATTTTCTGCATGAGAGTCTCTTTTAATGATTGCCATTATGCTGATGATTTTCTTTTGGATGTCAGATATTTATTTCAATTGCTTCTTATAATTTAATAATGGATTAGAATTAAGCAAAGAAAACTCATTTTAAAATTAAAGTGTTTATGATTTGTGTGACAATTTTTGTAGCAAAAGATGCTGAATTCTTTATTCTTGTTGTGAAGTGAGCCAGAGTTCCTTAATACTTAGGCAACAAATGGGCCTATTGTACCAGTGCTGAATGATAGATGAGAGAATGGAGCATTGGTGGAGTGATAATTGACAGGGGAAAGTGGAAGCACTGAGAGGAACCTTCCCCAGTTCTACTTTGTTCACCATAAATCTCTCATTGACTTCCTTAAGACTGAACATGGACCTTCACAGTTGCTGAACTTACTTTAAGGATAGTATATTGAAAGAGTTTCCCCCCCCCCAAATTTAAGTTATTATCAAGTTGCAGGCCAAGGAAATTACAAGTTCCTACTTTTTCAATTGTTTTATTAACATTAGATTGTTCAAATTAATATAGATTTATTGGCATTAAACCATTTCTTCAAATGAGTGAAGATATGTATGGACAAGTACCGTCTTAAGTGCAACAATTTTATTGTAGTTTTTACTTCTTTTTCCTCCTCCACACTACATGTTTCGGCCCTAAATGGCCATCATCAGGTGTGTATTACTCACGTAGCTGTTACACTGCTTGTTAAAATTTAAAATCACCAGTCTTTCTAATTGTATAAAATCTTTGTTAATCTACACGCGTCGATTTGATTTTTAAAATAGCACTTTTTAAAACTCTAATTCAAGTTAAAATGTCTATAAGATCTCCGTTCTCTTTCTTTTTCAAATTTTTTTTTTAATTAAAATTTTTTCAGGGTACATGCCCTATATCTACGGTGCTGCAGCGGCCACTTCTTGTTTTTATCGCTGTTCATGTGTTGTCTGTAATATACAAATATTCGTGTTACTATCATATGTTATATCATGTTATGTTATTCTTATATGTTTATTCTGTTATTTGCACTTACTCTGTGTAGGCGCTCTCTGTGTGTGTCGCTGCTTATCTTTAATACGTTTGCTGTCTGGTGTACTGTGTGCTGTGTTTTATGTTCGTGAGTGTTGGAGGGGGAATGGGTAGTGGGGGGAGGGAGGTACTGTTAGTCTGTATAGATTTCGTATATAGTTTGAAATATGGGATTGTATGTTTCTATGTGTGTGTCATTCATTTGTAGGCCTTTCTTATTTATTTTATATATATGGTATTTCTGTAATGTATTCAAATGTTTACCCTTTTTTCCCGTTGTTACAACTTCCCCCTCCAACACTCACGAACATAAAACACAGCACACAGTACACCAGACAGCAAACGTATTAAAGATAAGCAGCGACACACAGAGAGCGCCTACACAGAGTAAGTACAAATAACAGAATAAACATATAAGAATAACATAACATGATATAACATATGATAGTAACACGAATATTTGTATATTACAGACAACACATGAACAGCGATAAAAACAAGAAGTGGCCGCTGCAGCACCGTAGATATAGGGCATGTACCCTGAAAAAATTTTAATTAAAAAAAAATTGAAAAAGAAAGAGAACGGAGATCTTATAGACATTTTAACTTGAATTAAAGTTTTAAAAAGTGCTATTTTAAAAATCAAATCGACGCGTGTAGATTAACAAAGATTTTATACAATTAGAAAGACTGGTGATTTTAAATTTTAACAAGCAGTGTAACAGCTATGTGAGTAATACACACCTGATGATGGCCATTTAGGGCCGAAACATGTAGTGTGGAGGAGGAGAAAGAAGTAAAAACTACAATAAAATTGTTGCACTTAAGACGGTATTTGTCCATATATATTGTGCGAGTGTAACAGGATGCTGAAATATAATAGAGTGAAGATATTATTCACACAATTACAGAGTTTGTAAGATTTGAGGCTTTCACGGCGGTGACTATGAAGAAAGCAGTCTTCTGTTATTTGGCACTGTGAATATGTAGTGTTAACCGACATTTCGGATGTCTGCTTTTACCAGTTCTCATGGTCTCTTCATGTGTGGATTTCTTGTATTTTTCCTTCTACCCTGAAGATGGAGGCAATGCGTTCCTCTGAAGCGTCGGTTAACACCACATATACACGGTGCCAAATCCCAGAAGACTTCTTTCTTCATAATTACAGAGTTATCCAATTTTTGTATATGAAATAATAATGCTAGTAACATTAAGAAAGAGTATGGGTTTTGGATTGAGGGTTGATGGATCAGAGCAGAAACAGCTACCACAGAGTGTGTTTATGAAATGAGATTGTCTGGATATGAAATTTTAGGAGATATATCTATATAGTGCTGAGTTACTTATTCATCATTGGCTTTTACAGCATTTTGTTGTCATTATCTTACCGTCATCACACGTTTGTAGTTATAATCTAGGTAAAGGTCAAGTTGTCCCTCTGCTTAAGTAATTAAGCACACCGTGAAGAGATCTGGGTAAGTGGAATTATAGCTCCACCATTCTTAATCTTGAAACTAGATTAAGATGTTCCAAGAGTTCTGTATTTCCCCATAACACTATTTCATAATTCTAAACAAAATGTTTTTTGTTAGGAATCGTAGTCAAATTTTCATGATTTGGCTGATATCCTTATAGATGCATGTTTTTAATGTAATTTTTTTTGTTAGGAACTGTAATCACATTTTCATGATTTGGCTGATATCCTTATAAATGCATGTTTTTCAGTGTCATTTTAGATGATCATGCCAATGCACAGCCTTTTTGCTCTGTGTCCCTTTATTTAGTGCCAGTGTTCACAATTTATTCATAGTAATGCATTATTCAAATAGTCTGAGGCCCTGATGTAATGTTACCTTGAGCAAAGGCTCATATGGTATTTCAATATGAATGGGATATGAAAGGAGTGGGAGTTAAAATAAAAAAATAACTTTATACCTGTGTAACTTCTTTCGGGACTGAGCTGTGTTGAGTATTTTCTGTTTTTTCCAAAAATTGTGGTTAACATCTTCAGTGTTAATGTCATGGAGGAGGTTGGAAACCCTTTTATAGCTCTGGCAGTGAGAGGTGAAGGCATGATTGGAGAATAGAGGAGTGGAATATTATCCATAGGAAGTGTCCACAAGATTGACAAAAAGTGATTAGGATGTTTATTGTAGACCAAATGGTCATGAAAAGAAATGAGTGTTATAATAGCAAGCATAAAGAAACAATGCAAAAATTAGTAACACTATATTGCCTTCATATATAATTGTCATTTAGTGCCCTTAAATGAATAGAGTAATTAAAATAAATGTAGTGAAATTAAACTTTAATGATTAAAGAATTAATATTTGTCATAACTTCTAAGAGCTGGGGTCTACTTTGACATGGAATAACTGTGCCATTATACCCTGTTTATTCTGGCCTTGGATGACAGCCACGGTGGAAACATGATATTGTCTCGTGTATCCTGGTAACACGGCAGTAAATAATGGGTTCTGGATTTGATAACTCGATTTATTGGATAATTTCACACTTCATAACTACAATTCATTATTACACTTTCAAGATTGCTGTATCTATAACACACAAACACTCTCAAGATTAACACATCAACTATTTAACTGCCTTGAATGACCTCTTCCTGACGAATCCTGGAATCCTCTGGCTTACGACTGCTGAACTGAACTGAACTGAACTGCTGGTGTCAGAGCCAAAGTGACATTGTGACTGATGGTCAGTCAGTCAATAAGTCTTGGTGTTGAGCCCCATCTGGTCTCATGATCAGTTATTTATTACTGTTTGACAGTTATGGTCTTGTTTTTGTGGAGCACCATCTCTGACGAGAGGATGGGTCTGTCTTTTGTATATGCTGTTGACACTTGCCAGTGCAGTGTTTCTCAGGTCCAATTTCCTTGAGACTCATGACCATATTTTACTGTCTCGGAAACTGCTGGTGTTATTGTGTAAGTCAGAGTCAAAGTAACATTGCGACTGATGGTAAGTCAGCCAGTAAATGGGGCTCATGAGCAGATATTTATTACTGTTTGGCAGTTACGGTTTATTCTGTATGCCTCTGTAGTCCTCGTTATATAGCCTCCGCACGGACCACATACAGAAAACCCAGTTCTATTGTTGCATAAGGAATACCACACAGAGAAGTCACGTGATACCTAAGCAGTGTCTTCATTGGTGCACTGTTGCTTAGTAACGTGCAATAACATTCCTCCACTGAGACGCATCTTCCATTGTTGCCTTGTGTGAATTCAGTCGAGGGGTGTTTATTGGTCCTGGCCATCCATGTTATACTATTGGTCTTTTCGTTACATCAGAGATCACAGTTGACATTAGTTTGATCTTTCTGAGTACATTTAAACCTTCCCGCAGAAACATTGGACATACAGCTTAGAAATGATAGTACAGTCACAGAGAAATGTCTAGCATTTTCTTCTGTCAGCTTGTATAAGGCTTGTGTTTTGAATATAGATATAGATTTAGGGTAGGAGAATAGTCAATTTTGTCATAACTCAAATTTCATAGGTTGTAATTTCATACTAGTATTTAATATATGTCTTTATGTTTCAGATCCTAATGGAATCAGCAGAGATGAGTGAGTTCCTACAGAGTCGAATAAGAACATGATGCTTGCATGGATGTTACGTACATTTAAAGCATTTTGGCTGCATATGACCTTCATGTCTGTTCATTATAGATAATCCAGAAAATACTTTTTTCATAGTTGTGCAAAAATCATAATTTACCACTGTAAACTCTGTTTTAAGTGGAATGTAAGTTTCTGAGAAGTTTTTTGTCCTAAATAATTTTGTAATATTTCAGTTTTATATAACCTGAATTATGGAGTGTGTTGAAAAGTCTACTGGAATGGTTTTAATGAAAATATGTTCTATTTATTAGTTAGTCATTGGACTAACAAATTTCTCTCTGGAACTGATTTGTGATTAATATAAGTTCTGTTTCAAAGACACTGTACTTTTCTGTATGAGGGTGAGTCTAATGAACACCTTAAATATTTTGTTTTTCATAATTTATTGAGCAAAAGTGGCATACAACTGTATAAGTTTTTTGTTGTTTACTCTTTAATTATTGTTGAATGTTTTGAGCTGAGAAAATACAGTCGCTAAGATGACTTGCTATAGGCTGGAGGTCTGGGTTTCATTCCCAGGATTTTTTTCTTGATCAAGAATGGTTGTGGGGAACACTGTACTTCTTAACCCATGGATACAAAATAGATACAAATGGCTGTTTCTGCAGGAGATGGGAGTGTGAAAGAGTTGAAGCATGCCGCTCATAATAGTCTCCAACTGGTACCAAGGTTAAGAATGCTGGAAGTTTTACTTCTATGTCCCATATGCTTCTGTGCTGTAACATAAGAACAACTTTACATTTACCTGAATTTTTTGAGTGTTCTGTTTGGTGTTAAAGAAAAGACGTACATATTTTAAAGGACTGTATTTCAAAGAGTGTTGAAATTAAAGTAAACATGATGGAGTATCAGAACATTATTCATGAGACAGTTTATCTTCTCCCAAACTACAGATTTTGATTATCTTCTGTTTGGGCATCATTTGTCAGTGAATAAATTTTCATATCTAAAATTATACCATTTTTTTTTTCATTAACTACATTTCATGTTTTTTTGGATTTATCTGAATGTATGTGCAATTTTGCATCCCACATTGGATTTGATGTTAATTTATTGTGCTTGTTGAGTACTCAGTTATGGAGATACTACAAAGCATTGTACACATTTTAGGAGAATAAATACTGTTTATTATATATGGCATGCATTAGCTGTTTCTAAAATGAGAAAGCTTTAGGAAATTTGATTATATTCCTTTTTAACTTTATATGGAAGCTTTGGAGTTTGTAACATAAAAGCCTAGACAAATGTGGTGGAGGGGGAGTGTTTGTGATTGATGAGAAGGTCTAATATATTTTGTGACCTAACTGGCTTGAAGAGTTAACTTAAGTGACATTACATTCCTGAATGCTTGTAGATAACAAGTATATTACAGAATGTTTTCCAGGCTGTTTGTGTTTGATTGCAGATACTTAATCAATAATGTTGTTAGTGTTGTTTTCTAAACATAATCCCCTTTTTGACCTGTTGAGCATAACAGGGTGAATAGGTTAGCTCAGTGCAGTGAGGACACCTACTCTTAACACTTTGCAGACCAGTTGCATAATATTATGCTTTTTGCTTTTAACACATTGCGGACCAGTTGTTTTTTCTTTAGGGTATGACAGGAAATGAGTGTGATCATGTTACTGGCTAAGCTAGCAAACATTCTCGAGGTCAACTACGCAGTAGTTATGATGCAACGTGGCCACACAGCGAGATATAGTCTGTTGCAACATAACGCGTAAGAAAAGGGCCAATTGGCCCGCCCAGTCCGCAACGCTATAGGAACGTAGAGGGCCAATTGGCCCCTCCGGTCCTGAATGTGTTAAACGTGGCAGACCGGTTGCATAATAATATGATTTTAGGACACGTTATGTTGCAACACAATATACCTTGCTCTGGCGCCACGCAGATGTACAACTGGTGTGTAATAGACCTGCCGAATGTTTGCTTGGTAGTCAGTAACATGACCTCTCTGTTTTTCTATCCCACTCCAAATGAAAATGCCTTTGTTTGTCTTCAAGCTGTATGTACCAGGCAGTAAGTTAGGAGTGCAATATGGATGAAGGTCGAAAGCGGTTGAAGTCCAAGTGATCTCTCAGAGAACAAGAAATATCTGACTTGTTCTCCGATGAGCTATCTGATGTTCCTTGTGAGACGTGAAGTGATAGTGACTCAGACGATGGCAGTGACGGGGGACAACAAAGAATTGTGGCCACAGACAGTAAAAGTGGCAGTAGCTCCGATGAAAATGCGGGTAGTAACATTGCAGGGACAGCCACATGGGGAAAAGTAGACAAAATGCCTACTTTGGGACAGTTTACTGGAAATCTGGGGGTGCAACAAATTCCATCAGACCCAACGTGAGTGTCTGAAGTAGCAGAACTGTTTTTTGGAGATAGGGATACTCATGTTGTGAATATGATTTCCACAATACACAATTCAAGCATGGTTGATGTTTAGAGGAGACATGGACAAGTAAAGAAGCCTATTTGTATTTCTGAGTATAATATGTTCATGAAGGGAGTTGATAGAGCCAATAAATACTTGGCCTATTATTCTCTTCCTAGGAAAACAATAAAGTGGACAAAGAAAGTTGCCTTGTGGCTTATAAATTGTGCCATTTTCAATTCATTTTTGGCTTACAAAAATCTATACCCTGATTCGAAATTGAAATATAAAGCATTTCTGATGAATGTGGCAAAGGCCTGGTCTACAGACCAGATGGTGGCGGCAGAACCAGAGTCAGACACAGACTTAGTGTGACATGGCCCATCAACTCATGTGGGCCCCCCTGGGCGACTCTCGGCTGATATGCAGAAACATACCCTCATGAAAATTGTGAAGAGTGAACATTCCAAGGGTAATGCTGTGTTTGCACAGTTCACAAAAAAAGGAGTATTACTGTGTACATTTGCAAGTTCTGTGTAATGCCACTTCACAAAGGGGAATGTTTCCAGAAATATCACACCCTCAAGCACTTCCATGAGCATTGGTAAGTGTTCTCCTAAAATTTTAGTTAAAAAATTAATTAGGAGACTTTATATTAATTAGTTAGGGTGGTTGGTTTAAAAATGCTGGTCCCCAGGGTGATTTAAATATTTAAATTGCCGCTCTGCAAAGTTTTAAGGTTTACATTGGATGTATATTTGTGACAGGACAGTAGGGCCTTCTTAGATTTAATAAGAAAGGTTTTGTTGGCAGGTACTTAACAGAATCACAGATGATACCACAACCCAGTATACCATAGAACTATCACAAGCTTTGTTGATTCCAGATTATGTTTGTCACAAATGTAATCCCAGCTTGTTGGATTTAGTTTCTATGTTAATGTTTTTAGTTTGTGATGTAGTTTTATAATTTACACAAAATAATTTGGTCTTGGTAGTAATGTTGCTAATTTTTGAGATAAATATCTGAAGAACAACACAGGTCTCAAGTCCAGGATCCAACTAATCCTGTGCTTCGGAGTGCCGATAAATATGAATTGCATTTTGAGTCCATGAGTTCAGAATGAGATTTTGGTATGCAATTTGTTGGCTGCTTTGTAGTCTTTCTAACAGTTATCTAAGTGATTGTAGTGATTGATCAGATACGTTTTACAGCACTAAAGGACAGGATTATTATGAGTGCTGAATTGGAAAAGATTTGAAGAGGTCATGAACATTGGTCATGGCCTATTTTGTTGGCATGGTATTACCCAGATATTTGTTAGGAGGGACAGAGAAACCCCACAGAAATGTTAATCAGGGGAATAGGTCTCTAGACTGAAAATCAACCCAGGATCAACAGAGTATAAAACATGAGTGTTAACCACCCAGCCATGATATTTGATACAGATGTGAAACAGTGAACACTAAACATGTCCAAGCAAAGCTGGCTCAACAACTGACCATGAAACAGGCATCTGCAATTAGCTGTTTTCTTGTTTTACATCATGGACATTAATCTTTCAAGTTGGAAGTTTTGCAAGAGTGGTCAGGATTCCTTTGTGCAGCCTGGTCTAAGATGAGTTATCTTTTACTTTTTGCATATTGTGTACTAACTTATGTGCACTTCATGTTAATTCTGTGGTCTTTGAATTAAATTTCCATCCTACTTACCACGAAATTAACTCCATGGGTCAGAGTATGTCTTGAGAAGCCAATAGTTGCTTAGTTAATCACATAATGCCTTGTCTTTTGTGGAACCCGAATGCTGAATGTTCATTACCATAAGAGCCCATCGCTGGTACATGTTGAACCAGATCAGTCCAATTCAAATCATCTCACCTTATTTCTTTAAGATTAATTTTAATATTATCCTCTTATTTATATGTAGTTTTCGTAAGTGATCTCTTCCATTTAGGGTTTGTGACTAAAGTATGTTTCCTCTTGTGTGTAGTATATGCTGTGTCCATCCCATCTTAATTGATTTGATCACTACAGTAATATCTGATGAAAAGTACAAATAAGAAGCTCTTACGTGTGAAGTTTTTTCTGCAACATTCAGGTTCTTTCTCTTAGGTACACACATTCTCCTCATATCTGGTTTTGAAACACCTCAGTCCATGCTGATTAATGAATTCAGTGATGATGATTTTTCAGAATGAGTTATGTATGTTTTGGTATGGATATGTAGGTTAGACTGTTTTTGAGCATAAGGTTCAGTCTGTGAGATTGCTTTTGTTGTGTTTGACATGGGATGGTTGTTGCCACCTGTGGGCATATTTGTGACATTGTGTTTTGGGCTCTTGTTATATGTGGATGTCTGTCTTATCCCTGGCCATATAGTTGGAAAGACTGATGTTTTGTGTAGGTGCTACAATCTATATAAACTCCAAGTCTAACCCCTCAAGCGTGTGCGACGCACCATACGCGTCCACTCAGTTACATGCATCTAGCGTGAATTTAAGCGGGGGTATTTAAATCCCTCCCAGTGTTTTATTTTCGCAAGCATTGAAGGTTTTGTGCAGACATTTACCTAAATATTTTTAAATGAAATGGCTATTTGAAAAATTCCAAAAAATTATATTATATTTACAATTGTTTACAGTTCATTATTATAATTATGTACTTACATTTTCTCAAGCTATTTCTTTTTCCCAGCTCTCCATATCCAGTGTCTAGTAGTTGACCTTGGTGTGGTATTGTTCAAAACGGATCTAGGCAGAGAGACGGTGTCCCTGGGCAGTTTTTACACCTGTATCTGGTTTCTTTTCTCTTTCCGTTTTTTGTACACACCACACACCTTCTTCTTTCAACTTTATATGTTTCGGTTTTGGGATTTTCTTGAATGAAATGCTGACCCGTCAATCTCGTACATTCCATGTCGGTATCTGAAGGATGCCCTTTGCGCTTTTCTAAATTCTGTCCATGGGACTTTGCTATGATCTTATTCACTAAGTTTATTCTGAATAACAGATGATCTTTCTTGTTACCAGCCTTGCAGTACAGAATGTAAGCATTCAACACTGCCATATTTAGTATTGAATAATGTCTTGTACCACACTTTTTGCCTTTTCCTTTCTAGCAAGAATGTTTCTAGTAGCTGATCTTTCAAGTCTACACCTCCCATATACTTATTATACTCTATTACACATATAGGTTTATTTACAAATTCCAACCCACCCTTTTGACTTACGGGTTGCATTTCGTCTGAATGTTTAGTAGTCAGCACTGAGACATCGCGCTTATCCTTCCACTTCAACGCCACCAATTTCCCACACTTTGCACTAACTACTTCTCCTTTCTTCAGTTTCTTTTTTAGATCTATTGGCATACCTTTGCGCATGATTTTCACTGTTCCAACAGCACATGTTGTCCTCTGAACTAATCTCTGGAAAAGATCGGGACTGCTATAAAAATTGTCCATATAAACACATCTGCCCGAGTCTAATAGTTTCTCGCACAAACTTAGAACAACCTTTGTTGAGAAAAGATCTGTGTCTTTGGTGATTTCACAGCCTAATTTTGTCCCTGATCCACTGTAAATTATAAAATTCCACAAATATCCTGCGGAATCACAAAGTTCAAAAATTTTAATCCCAAACCGGGAAGCTTTCATAGGAATATACTGTTTCCACGAAAGTCTACCTTTCCGCAACAACAAAGATTCGTCGACACTTACTTCTTTGCCCGGTATGTACACTTTCTGGAACTTATTTTTCAAATATTCACTAACTGGAAGAATGTTATACAATTTAGGATCTCTTTTTGCAATTTCCTTATTGGTGTTATCTACAAAATGGAGAAATCTGGTCAGCAATGAAAACCTTTCTTCACTCATTACATTGGGAAAAAATGGTGTTTCTAACATATGTTTCCTACTAAAATACATCCTGAGGTTTGGTTTCTGAATTTTTCCCATCAGCATAAGCAAACCTAGGAATACCCTAATTTCATTCGAAGTTGTAGGAACCCACTTTTGAAACCATGATTTCTTTTGGGTCAGGATTTTTTCTTTCTGATTAGCAAGAAAGCCTTCTGCATAACGGTTTGTTTCATTCACTATAATCGTCATCAAAAAATAACTCAAAATATCCCAGAGGATCATCTGCACACCGAACTGGCACTATTTGTTTCCCAACTAAATCACACGTAAAAGGTAGAGGAGGATTAGCACTGTCGACCTCTTCCCAAGTATTATCTGGAATATTCAGAGAAAATTGAGGTTCTTCCTCTTCCTCTTCGGAACTGGAATCGAGAGTATATCCACATGAACCCACAGAGGTTGTATCCGAATCTACTGAACAGTTTTCGTCCAAAAGATCAAGCACTTGTTCGTGAGACAAGTTACGAAAGCAAGATGCCATGGTGAACTAAATAGCTCAGCTAAGGGACGGTCCCAAGGCAGAAAAGAAATAAATGCTGACATAGGCGCCTGGCAACCTCGATCCCTAGGTTCGTAACATCGTACATAAGACACCAGATAATAAGTGGTTGAATAATTTTTCATACCACACTTTTTCCCTTGTTTCCTACTGAAATACATTCTGAGGTTTAGTTTCTGAATTCCCATCAGCATACACAAACCTAGGAATACCTTAATTTCATTCGAAATTGTGGGAACCCACTTTTGAAAGCGTGATTTTATTTGCGTTAGGGGCAAGAAACTGTGCCGCCAGATAAGTTACGTGACCGAGATGCCATTGGGCTCCGCTATTCATAAATGTTGACACAGGCATCAGGCAACTTCGACCCCTAGGTTCGTAACATCGTAAATCAGACACAGCTGCTTTGTCGCCAGTAAGCCAAGCCAGTAAAAAAATATAGTAACGCAAACACAGATAACAAGAACT